CCGCGCAGCTCCGGCCGCGCCCCCCGCGGGTTCTGGGGCTTTCAAAGCCGGTGCTGTGCCACTGAAATGAGAAATAGCATAAATTTTAGCAATAAATCGATCACCTGGCTTCCGGTTTAACGTGGACCTCAGCGCGTTTTCAAGCATGTACATATCTGCACTATTACGTGTAAGACTTAGTCCTAAACAATTTCCTTTGTAAACACTATAATTCACCTGTCTCTGTTCTGTAAATAGGGAGAATGCCAGATTTCCAGGTAACACACCTATTCCCTAGGATTAAATACTGCTTGCTGACTGCACAAGGGAAAGATGAGCGCACTGTTGATTCCTATTAGCCAAGGAAAGCTCACAGCCAGTGTGACAGGCTCTTGGAGCATTCATTACATTTTCTCATAGCCAGTCCAAAAAGCAATGGGGCTCCATTTGTGCCAGTGGGAAACTTAACTGAAAATAAATTGGACAAACAGGTGTCAGCTGGCCAACAGTTTTAGTTGTAACTTCTGTCCAAGATGGAAGAGGATCCAGGCTAGATGTCCACCAAATTAGGCAACAAGTATTTCTTGATCCCAGAATGCTTTAAGGGAGTTTCTTCCTCTTTGCACCGGAAAAAGCTTTTCCCTTTTGTGCTATTTGTGAAATTTAATGTTAGAGTATGAAAGGCAACCATAAAGGACTGGTTCCTCATCAATGGTTCTTAGGTACTTTTAAAAATGGATATATTTCTCAGCATATGACTACATTAGCAAATCTATTTCCTCTTTTTTTTCCTCTCCTCATCCTTTTCTGCAGCTCAATTCTGTCTATTAAACCAGGAAAATACAAGGGAATTCTGGGATCTGCACTGTAGGCACTGCATGAGCAGTTCAGCTGACATGAAACTCATACCAACCTTAGGGAACCTCAGCTGAAACACCATTTACACCCCTCTGGCCACCCAACTGCCTTCAGAATGCAGAACCCGGCTGAGGAGGCAACTGCACTTACCAATCACAAGCAATGGTGGCGAGTGTTGCTGCAGCACCTTGGGAAGCATGAATGTCTAGTTCCATTCTTTGTTTTTCTGCATTTCTTGCCTTACAGGTATAACTTGCTTCTTTTTTTGTACTTCAGCAAAACCAGGATGTGATGCTGATCCATTGATGAACCATGACACACCTCCAATTTACACATGTGCACACACATAATGGGGCTACTTCAAAACAATCCAAGGCCAATTTTAACCCATTTTTCTTCTTTATACTCTTCTGAGATGCAAGGTGGCATCATTCCATAAAAAAAAGTATTTAGCTAGTAACAAAATACAATTAGCCTTTGCCAGTCTTTGGAATTGATAGCTGTCACTACAGCCATTAGTGCTGCATTAAGCTGCTGTACTTTAAAACAAACAAACAAATCCAATTAAATACATCACTGTTGTCAGGTGGGTGGTTTTCCTCTTCCCAACAGACAAATGTAGCCCATTTTTTACTCCAAGCAGCTATTTAGCTCCCTAAAGTGAAACAGAGCCTCTGTTCTAGGGTACAGTTACTAAAATTTGGACCCCATGCAACTTTCTCTTAAAACTCAAACCTTTCTTCAAACCGAATTAATCTCCAAAAGGTGTTATTTCACCAGTTCCTCAGAAGATTGCCCACCCTTCCATGCTCCAGCATCCCTGCTGTGCCCCCTTGGCACTGACTGAGGGCTGCTGCAGCCCAGCCCTCCCCTGCTGTGGGTCACTTCTCCCTCAGACCCTTTGGAACTGCATCAGGAACCTCAGGAGAACTGCAGCAAGCAATCCATCCAGATTTCTCAGTGTGATATGAACACAACCTGACAGCCAGACTAATGTGACCCCTCGAGTTCAACCAGGATCCTCACCCAACAGCAGTGAATTCCAGTACCTGGATTCCAGCCAGCACAAACCCACTTTGGTACAAACCTTTATTATCTCACACCTCCTTGCTACAGCTATCATTGAAACAACTGACATTCATATTTTACAGGTACCATAAAAAGTTACAAAGTGTAAATGATGCTGTGTAGTCCACAAAGTAAAAATACTCGAGGATTGACTTTCTGTCAATGGAATTTGGCACAGAGGTGTTCACACAGGAGGGAACAGGCTTGAACTTCATCCTGAGCACATCAGGCAGGCAGTGTTTCCATGGTTTAGAGGCAGAGCTTCTCCTGGATGGATGGCTTCCCTGGCATTACCTGTGGCATTAAAAGGCACAAAGAGAAACACCCCAGGAGGCAGGGCCCAGGCAGTGGGGCATCCCACCAGGAATCTGAGTGCTGCCCAGCTCTTCCAGCTGCAGCTGGGGCAGGGTGTGTCACCATTCCTACCAGCTCCTTGCTCTTGCTTTGTCCACCATGAACTGCAACTGGAGATTCTTGCTCCAACAAACATGGGCAGCTTCCCTGTGCCTGCAGCAGTGCTGGGATTGATGCCTGTGGCAGCCAAAATGGGTCTATGGCTGCCAGGGCTCTGCCTTTTAGGCTCAGGATTGCAGGGCTGCTTTACAGATCCACACACTAATATTTACAGAGGTAAATATTTCAGATGACACCATGCCTATCACATTTAGAGACAGAAGTTCTATCTTAAAATAGTCCTGGGTACATTAAATAATTGGTTAATAAAAGGTAGTTTGGAAGGACCATCATAAGCAATATGCAGTGGTAACTGAGCAACAATAAATATTTGAGTTGTTTGGAGATTTTGTTGGTTTGTTATTTTTTGTTGGGTTTTTAAATTTTTGGGTTTTTTACCATCTCCACTGTTACAAGGCAATGACAATATCAGTAGCCATAGCAACACAATCCCTACTTGTTCTACCTGAGCCAGTTATGGATGGTACAGAGAGCCCAAAGATAATTTCACCATGGAATTCAGAGGAAAGCATGTTTATAGGGTACCCTTTGGACCAGATATTGTCCTAAAATCAGTATCCACATATTCCCTAGAAGTTTTGATTAATTTAATCAACAACAACAAAAAAAGAAATTGTTACTTTCCATCCTCAACTCAATGCTAATATTTTTAAATTTACAGTCTGATATTTCATATCATTAAGGTAATAGAAAAACAACAGACTAAGAATGAGAGGAAATGTCTCATTGGAGCAGATGATCTAGGAGAGCACAGTCTGACAGACTCCAAATTCTTCCTTCATGAATAATCCTCACTATGCATCAGGGCAGGCAATAAGGAGACAAATCCAAAGGAAATTTCACATAGCTGGCTAAGAAAAACCAACTGCTCAGGGATCATCACTTTGTACAATCCTCAGGACTGAGACCTCTTCCCAGGTAACAAACCTGCCATGTCTGACCTCCTAGAAAAGTGCCCTTTCCACAGCTGAAACAGTCCTGATCTTAAGCTGGGGTCAAACATGCACAGCCACAGTGCTTCCTCTTCTCAAACCCAACTCCTAAACCCCATTTTTGCTGAATGATAAGACACCACTCAGTATTTTCCATCATAGAGACCAGAGATCTCAACCCAGGGAAAGGTGGGCAGAAAGTGAGGAAGCAAGATGCCTGCACCACAGTGATCATCAGAGATCAGCAAAGGCGTGGGAAGGGAGGGCAAGCACGCATGGCACCAGGAAAGCTCAGGTAGAGGTGAGCAGCAGTCTGTCAGGGAAGAGGGGCTTCCTCAGGCACTGCAGATTCCAGCCCTGGTTCCCAGAATGTTTGTGTCATTGTAGAGAAAATGAGAGCACGACTCAGTGCTGGCTCAGTGTTGTTTACATCCGGATGACAAATAGGCACTAGAAGGAAGAGCCCTCTTAAGGAAACCAGCTTGTTGCTGGAGGGTGTTTTGGAGCACATACATCTGCTCTGTCTGGCAAATACTTGTTTGGCTTTGGGGCTGTTGGTTCAGTCAGAGTTCACTCCATAGAAGTAATTTCCACTCTTTTCTTTAAACACCTTCATCTTGCTAAGATACTTTCTCTCCAGAGTTCTACCTTGTTCTCAAAGCCCCTGCTGTGCTTCTAAGAGCCTCCAGCCCACTGAATACACAATGTGAGAGTCCTGCTGCTCCTGGAGCACCTCAGTGCTCAGCTGAGCCAACCAAAGATGCCCAGGCTGCCTGATAAGCCCATGCACAACCTGTCAGAGCACCTAACTGATCTAATATTCAGGCACCAAAACTGCTTAAAGCAGAGAAAACTCTTCACTAACATCAGATTGCAAAGCCTGCAGGCAGTCAGAAAGCATGTACAAATACAAGAATTTATCTCATAAAATTCAGTAATATATTGCAATTCTTTCCATACACAATAATCTCCAAGATCTAGGCATTTTCACTGAAAAAGAGTTCAGCTAAGATTTTTTTATTTTCTTTTCTGAAGTGAATATACACATTTAGGATAAACCTTTTCTCAAATTTAGGTACCTGGTTTATATACAATGCATCCTCTTAACCTGCTGCACCCTAGAACTATTCTCACACTGTCTTGGCACTGCAGCTGTGTCACCCTTAACACATATTGTCAGTGGGCAAAAAAAAGGTTTTATCAAGTACACTTTCCTTGGTGAAATTTCAGAACTGACTGAACAAATTGGGCTTCCCTTCCTTCTGTGCTTGACATAGGATTATTTTTGATTTGCAAAAGATGAAGAGTTCACATGATTCCCTCCTCCTGTGATGCCATCTCTTCCGAGGCTGAAACAATCAAAGCTGCTTCATCTTCCAAACTTATGATCCAAAGCAGAGATTGTCCAAAAAAGTCACATCATTCAGTGCTTCCCACCACCCAGCACACACATGCACACAAAAATCTCAACACACTGTTCTCCAAAGAGAAGGTTTGCTCTGCTGCACGACTTAGACAACTATTTTTGCCAATATCCAATTCAGGGCTGAAGGCTCTTATTTATTCTTGAATTCTCATGTAAGTGGTTTACAGTAGCCATCTGCTGAAAACATACACCTTCACTCCTATGGAAGAGCAGCAGAAGTTTCTGACATTCAGAGAACAACCTGATGTCATGTTTGATAAATGCTGGTAAATCTCTCAACCTCTAATCAAAGACTTCTTGGGTTTATACTTCTGCTACTGATTTCATGCTGGGGCAATTTCCTGTGCTCAAGCTGTGGTAAGAACATCTGTGTGGAGCCTCTCACTCACATTTCTGGCACACATGAACCTATAAAAGGACGACTCAAAACAGCATTGGCTTTGAGGCTTACATCCCAATGATCCCTCCCCCCACCGCCCAAGAATAAGATAAAAATCAATAAATCATCTAATAATCCCTTCTTAAAAGTATTCCTTACATAAGGATAATTACAGATTGCAAAATACAGATTGCAAGAAAGACATCTTTGAACAGACACTGTTTCTTTGCAGCATGAGATTCAGAATTACAAATTGTAATTTGCTACTCAAAGATGAGAGATCTATGTGCAGGGATGCCGTAATTGCTTTTGTGTTCTTCAAATAATTTCTTTAGTTTCTGTAGATACAATGCATGTAGCTGATCAATCTCTTCAGTGGTGGGGTTCAAGTTCTGTTTTACAGGGATGGGGCTTCCCACTGTAAATCAAACACAACAGCATTAGCTTCATTAACATCTCCTTTTAAGCAGAATTGCTGTCCCTTCTGTAAGAGCTCCACCACGGCTCCCATTCAGATGGCAGAATCACAGCACAATTTTCTTAGCCCCTGATCATGCCCTTCACAAGCCTCAGTCCTGGGTCTGTTTTTTTACTTCCTTTTGCTCAAATTCAGGTAAAATGAATGAAGGAACCCCTCTCCAGCATTTCAGTTTGGCAGCAAAAGAGCAAATGAGAAGAGTGATAAGCTCTAATTTGAAGGAGCAGTTTACACTTCAAGATACAATCCTATGGGTTATGTGCTGTCTACAAGTTCAACATAATATTTAAAAATATGTACTTTCTTACTGTCTTCTGATCTGAATATAAAATCACACAGTGTGAGGCATACTTAGAGGACAGTGGTGCCCTCCACCACACTGTCACATGAACAGGACTGAAGGAAATCTTTATCTTCCAGTTTATTCAAAATGGATATCACTGCACCAGAAATGTGACCTCAGCCTACGGAGGGGCAGCATGTAAATCCCCTAAACCCTGTGAGGCGTCTCTGAACCATCCATTGCCCACAAATGTCACTGGAACCAAAATGTTCTCCAGGCACTGTGCAAAGCTTGCTACCTGCTCCATGGGAGGTGACTCCGTGGAAATCCACAGGGCAGCCTTCACTTCCACAAAAGGCTATGGCTAAAAAGTGGATTGCTAGGAGAAGCTTCCCGTGATCTCAGTCTCCCCTGTGTTGTTCAGCCACCAGATTTTGACAGCTATTCTTGCATTGGAAGCACCAACACCTTAACAGATCCAACTGGGATTACAGAAAAAGCCTAGAAAAACAAAAACCTAAAAGCACCCTCAGGACTTTTCCAAATGCACCTGAAAATTCCTGTTAAGAGATTCAGCCACTTCAGATTGGATGGTGATGACTAAAGGCAAGCCTAGCCAGAACCACAAAGAGCTGAGCCTGCATTTTCCTGCTGCAGCTCAGCTGCCACCAGCTCTCAGGCCTGAGTGGTGCTGAAACTCAGACTTTACATGGCTGGGGTGGGAACCCAGCCCTGGATTGAGCAATACCTTAGAGGGGTGTGAAATCAATATACACACAATGCAGGATTTCCAGAGGCAGGACTGGAAACAGCAAACAGCCCCCAAGCCCTTCTGCAACAGTCTCTTCTCCCAAGAGTGAAGATTTCTTGTGGGATGGAAAACTACCCTCATCTCTAATATGTGCAGCTTTAAGGAACTTGCTTAATTTGGTATTTTAGAGTTGAGTCTATTTCTGTAAAGCAGTAATAAAAAAAAAAGTAAAGGTAAAATAAAAGCCCAATACTCAAACTTCAGAGGTCTTGGCTTAGCTGAATGGCTCTTGGATCCATGGCTTCTGAACCAGGACTGGAATCACCCATAGCTGCCCACGTTGGCAGCACAGCTCATCACCTCAGGTGAGCTCACTGCAGCCCTCAGGAGCTGAGCCAATGTTTCACAGGCACACCAAGAACACCCCACACACTTCCAAGGACACAGGCACATCGTGATAGTTTCTCAAACATGGGGAAAGAGACACAATAGGCAAAGGACCTCATGAGATCCTCCAAGTTCTGCTGCAGGATTCTGATCTTGCTGATTTGTAGCACTCCTGTGCTTTTGTCATGATGAAGAAGTGCCTCAACAAATAACACATTTTAAGCTTCAGAACAGCTCTGGTGTCATCAGCCCAAAAAATACCCCACAGAATTATAGATCTCATCCAATACATCTCATTCCAAAGCTTTGATAACTTTTTGGCTTTAAAATAAGTGGCATTTTTTGCCTTCCTGTGTACAATGTGGGCATTAAAAATTAAATATTTTCAAAATACTCAACTGCATGAAGTGATAAAACACAGAACTCTTTTTATGTTAAATTTCAAGCAGATATGTTTTTGTCTTAAACATTTTTACTTGTTCATACTATAATCAAATCAGTCCCATAAAGAGGGAGAGTCACCTTCAAAGTCCCTTGTGAAACACCAGAAAAGCTCAATTTTCTTTAGTTTGCTCAGGTCAGAATCTAGCTAAAAATGATTTATCAAAAAATTTACAGACAGCTCTTGCCTTTGCATGAGACCCAGCATTACCTATTTTGTAAAGGTGTGGTTGTCACTAGCACTAGTAAAACCATGAAAAATATGTTCAGTTCCACACTCCAGTGAGAACAGATGAGCAGTAATCAGGGCTTTTGGGGAAAAACACTCTCCCAAACTGCCTGTTGATGTGGCATGCACACTCACAATTAAACATGATAAGATCTTTCCAAGGGAAAAAGCCAAGAGGGAAGGAAACACCCGAAGAGTGCAAGGCCATCTAAGTGGCAGCCTGCCCAAGGGCTGTGGCACCACAGTGTGCCCCCTCCCTTTCCTCCTGCATCTCTCCCTCTGTCCTGATGAGCACCAGGTCAGGACCAGGCCAGCTCCTTCCAGCAGCCCTGCTCCAGAGCTCTGCTGGGGTGGCTGTACATCAGCTGGAACATCCAACTGCTACTTCTCTGCAGAGCTAAGAAATGAAGGTTCTGGCTTCTCACAAAACAGCCACAGCATCCAGAACCACAGCAACAGCTACAGAGCTGTGGCAGCCATCTCATAAAAACCGGACAACTCTTGGATTTCTTTACAGATTGCCAAGGATAGGAGCCTATGGATAACTGAGAATGAAGAGTAAAATTTGGCCAGAAAAGGGAAAGGGAGAAAATAATTGTTCCCTTTAACTGGGAACGACAGTAAATGTCACATACTTGGTTTGTAAGAATAGATTTATACATTTACAGATATTAGCAGCACACTGATGAATTTCTAAACATTTGCAACCACATTAGAAAAAGTGCAGGGAACTTACCAACAGTATGAATAGGTTGCCTGTAAGGTATTAAGCCAAAACTGTATTGGAATACTCCTCTAGCATGAAATAATGGTAAAGCAAAGCCCATTATCTTTTGCAACTTCTCCTGTACATTCCTGAGCCATGAACCTTTGGGATTTGCAACTTGCTTGAATAGTTCATTTTCACCAAAGGAAAACACTGGGACCAGATGAGCCCTGTAAAACAAAGAGGACTCTCAGAATTCTACATCAGCCTGCACTGCACTGCACTGCAGTTCACATCAGCAGCATAGAAACAGTTTCACAATAACCAGGCAGTTTCAGCAGCTTTGGATTTCATCAGCGACAGGCATTCAACCCTTATATGCAGCAGCTTTTTGGATGCCTTGGGTGATTGGTGTTTAAAAAAAAAAGTGATTGGCACACAACTAGCAACTTGCTTTTAGCAGTATTTAGTTGGTTGGTACCTATTGCAATTCGTGACTGTTCAGAATTATGAAAATGAGTAATTGCATATATCATAAGTATGTCTTTATCCACCACTATTTTAGCAAGTCCACCCTTGTTCCACTACATTTTTTCTCTTGGCAAGCAAAGAAGCCTCACTGCTAACTTTATAATGCTCCCAGCTGGGTGGCATCAAAACCAGATCTCAGCTTTCCCTTGTCTTTTGACCAGAGTAATTCGTGCCCTTGATTTTGGCACAAAAAGTTTGATAAAAACCAGACACCCTCACAGACACAAGTGCAATGCCAAATTCCTTCTCTGCTGTCCAATTCCCAGCCAAACCCTGCTTCCTCTGGACTTCTTCAAAAACAGTAGCCTTAATCCATTTTTACCAGAGGTCACATCTTACCCACAGAAATTATGCGAACCCACTTTGGCTCTTGCACAGCCTAATGAATTCCCATTCAGTTCATAAATTGGCCTGGGAGGAAAGGCACTGACTAGCTTCTGGACAAACAACGTAAGTGGATAGAATCAGTGCAGGTAAACCCACCGTTGTATTTAAAACCTTGGCTGCAGTATCATTTTTAATTAATGCTTAGTTTCATTAACTATTCTACAGAGTTTAGAGAAAAAAAAGAAGGATAATCCTAAGCAGTCTCTGAAGGATTCAGGGGTATTTTCTTTATCTAAATCTTAGTTTCTGTATCTTAGCTCTATTCTGTCCCCACTACCTTTGAGAAAAACCTTAACGTAAAATAGCAGTATTGCTAGAACATTGTCAGAATCAGTATGCAGAGCTGTGAGTGCTTGAGGAGGATGCACTGAGGACAGAGCTACCTGGAAAGCACTATGGACTGTCAAAATCCACCTGTACAGTAAAACACAACTGCTTCAACAGCTTCTTTAGCCTGAGGACTCACACAGACTATCATTCCCACATACTATTCTGACTAGTGTCTGCTCAAAGTTTCTTTCTCCAGTGGATTTATCACCCTGCCACCTGTAAAAGAAATATCAGAAAGCCTGGTACTTACTGTGGCTGTGTAAACACTCAGCTTTTTACTACAACACTAAGACAAACAGGAACATCTTGTGGTGCAATAGCTGTAGTGCCCTGACACTATGGGATTTGTTTTAATCTAGTGAAGACTTTTGCAAGATGCTATGTAGGACGCTAAGACAGAGAAATGAGTAACTTACGATTGTGAAATTAAGATAAGTTATCTGATTCATCATTTGTTTTCTGTCTTTGGGATTTCTTCACTTTGTATCAGATGTTTGTACTACCTTGACCAAAATGTCTTTTGCAGAAATGCAGAGGACTTTTGCTGACATATTCAGGCTACATTTGACAAGCTCCTAGCTGAGGAACACAGCTTCTCTGTGCTGGCAGCACAGCAGCCAGGGCCAGAGGGCACAACCCTCTGCATTGCCCCTTCCTTTGTTGGTATTTGCAGCTGCAAATCATGAGCATCAGGAATGTGTGCAGGCACTGGTGGCAGATGGGTCTTCTCATCCATGTCCCACAAGCCTCCCTGGCCCTTTTATTTCCACTGGAGTTGGAAATTTTCTTCTCATTTTGTTAATTGTTAAAAACAAGACATCAAAAGCAGAAGCAATTACTGGATGCCAAGTCTTTGGACAAGAGTTCTGTTAGACTCGCACTATCCCACAGCCCTGCTGGACAGATGAGAAGTCAGAATTCCAATGCTTCATACAGAAGCAGGTTTTTGTGCTGGTGTTTGTAGGAATGACTTGGAGCCTGCTGGTTACAGTGCCCATGTGAGTTGTAGCCCTTAGCCACTCAGGCAGAGACAGGCACTGCCACCCAGGGGAGGGCTCTTGCCAGCCATGACCCTTTTAGAAAGATGAGGACCATCACTGGAATCTAAGTAAGTGAAGGGGTAAAGGGGCCATTCCTGTGTTTTGCAAGTGTCCCACTCTTGCTGCTATGTGTTGGAGATACTTTTGAAATCAATGCCATGAGAGGCACAGGCGTATCTGATTTCATAATCCGAATCAATTTAGATGAGAGATAACCACCACCAACCTTTGTGATATGACAGACCAGACATCTATCAACATACTAAGAAGAAAAAAAGTATCTAAATATTCTTCTAATCTTTATGGTTAAAACAAACAAAAGCTAGTGAGTGTTGAGGATCTCACTGAATTAATCAACAGCTGAGCAAAAATTGAGTAAGGACTCATTTAGGCAGTAAACAATTCAAACACACAAGTATTTTTTCTGGGTACAAATTAGACTAGAATGTTCCATTCTGTTGGCACAAAAAATTCTTTATGAGAACCTAGTGATACATATAAGAAATACCCTTGAAATTTTGGCACAGAACAGTTTCTAGTTTTTTGCACTCTGTATACAAGCAGACAGCCCCTCATGTCAGAGATCACCTTTTCTCCAGTTAATAGCTTAAAAAGCTCTTATAGATTTCTCAAGACTAGTATTTTTTTCTCATTGCTTCACATATATAATCCTGGGAGCTGTTCAGAAAGTGCAGCCAGAACACACAATTGGTTTCAATATTTCTAATACACAAACCATCTAGACCAGTCCAGAACAGACACAGTATCTTATACTGTGCAAAGCACTCAAAATATATTGATACCATCTGTTTAGTAACACACTGATGGCTGCTTCATAGCAAAAACTTAACTAGTTTTTCTTGAGATTTTCACCAAAAATTCAAAGAAAGTCTTTAGAATAATAGTGAAAACAAATATTCCTAGACCATAATTCTCAGTGATTTAATGAAACAGGGCCTGGCTATCCAATTTATTTGTTTGCTTAAAATGGTAAGAAAATTCTACCTTAATGCATCTTCAATTTACAGAACAGAAAGCAGAATGTTTGCCCTACTCAGCAAAACCAGCCAAGATTTACTAATATTGTTTCATAATTCTTATTCTTGGTTAGTGCAAGAAACAACTGAAATAAAATAAGATTTGCTAATAACACCTACTGTTACAAATTATGAAAGTCAAAGGGAGTTTTCAACACTCCCAGATTGGATCTAGGTGGATAGATTGGCTCCTGTGCCAGATATCTGCATGTTCTTAGACACTTAGACTCTTTCAAATTCCCTAATTTTATAGAATATGAACTATATTTAATCTACATTCAAAGCATGCTTAATGGAAGACCTACCCATGTTTCAGGGCCATTTTAATAAAGCCCTTCCTCTTGAGGATGTTCAAGGTTAGACTTCCAGGATGTGCATTCAGAGATTCCTCTGCTCCTCCAATCACAATGACAGATGCATGGCCACCTCCTTCATTGCTCAGCACATGTGAGACACTTTCCTTGGATGCAGAAACCATTCCTTCAGGAGGAAATATTTTCAGAGTGACCACTGGATATTCATGTACAAGTACAGTAGAATTTAAGAATATTTTTAAGCATATAAATGATTTTTCAAAATTATAACAGCTCAGAACAGATTTCAAAGGTTTGGGTTCAAGCTCCTCACTCTGGAACAGAATTGGTTTTGGACACATGCTTTGATTTCACACTGATGAGTTCAATGCTGTTGCCTATTGCAAGAGTTTTGAATTCTTCAGGGTGTGCTCTTCTGGCAATTTAACTCCCCCTCAGAGAGACTCTGTGCCCAAGAACAGAGGGGGTGAATGGCAGCAGATACTGCTGAGAAGCAGCAGCTAAAGCTGTACAGCAGGTGCATACAAACACAGGCACAGAGGGGTTAACAGAATGTATAGAGGATTTGTTAACTCAAACATGGAGCTACAGCCTGGGGTGTCACAGCTGTGCTGCTGGAGGAAACAACTGCACATGTTAGACACAGGCAGAAAACACTGGGAAATGAAACATTGTGCAGGAGCATGGCTTTCAGGACATGGAAAATTTTGCAAGTGTTTTATGATTGGACTGGTGACCTGTATTACACCAAAGGTCCTCTTTCATTTATCAGCTGCATACCTGTGAAAACCAAGCTCCAATGCTGGCTCTTCTTTAGTGTGCTTTTTATTGCAGTTATTTCTCATTCTGCAGGTAAATATTTGTTCCCACGGGTCAAGATGCCAAAAACATGTAAATCTGACTTCCAGACAATGATTAAATGACAGTGTTTAAAATTGCAAGGTTCTACCACTGCCAATCCCTCACTTAGCAAGCCTCAAAGAACGCCCTCAGAAATTACATTTGCATGGAAAGGCATTCTCTGATACGTTGCAGTATACATAGATAAGTAATTCTAATACTAATCTGGGCAACATCCCAGGCATGTTTCTGTGCATGGAGCTGTGGAACAGCTTCTCTCAGATCGCAGTGTCAGTGTTGCAGCTATGCATAAAGTTAGATCTCTGTGTCTCCAACTTAGTCTTGTGCATCAGAGCAGGCTTAAATGTTGTAGTTGAGTGAATTTAAATAAACCCTGTATTAAACCATTGTGGGGGAGCACTAGTTCTTGTTTAATTCTTCTCATTTTTCAGTTCCCCCAACTTGATTGCTTGTTATTTTTATCTTTTATTACTGTAGTACCAGTCATGAATATCACCCCTTTATGACAAATGCTTCTCAGAGCAGAGAAAAAAGGTCTCTCTCTTTAGAGTTCACATCTCAATTAAAATTACACAAATTTGCAACATGGGACTTCAATCAGAAGCAGGTAATTAATTTCTGAGTATAAATATACTTGTAATGTATAACACTAAGCCCTTCAGGTAAGAGATTAGCCTGAATTTGTTTTACAAGTGCCTGCTAATGACTAAACAAAATTACAAATTATTATGCTCTTCTCTTCTTGTATAAAATGGGTACTCACGACTGCTGTCCGATAGTTCAAAGGAAAGCCAGCAATTTCTTTTCAGAAAGAAAAACAACTCAATGATATAGTTTACAAAACTATTAATAAAACCTTCCAAATTGTTAATTTTTTTTTTTGCCACAACAGTTCATCATAAAGTAGAAATTAAATTTAGCACCGACAGTGATCCTTCTGAAATTACTTACCATATATAAGTAGAGGAATAGACTCTACATTTGTAACAGAAGCTAAAATATGAAGCAATAGCTGAGATGTTCTGCTTTTACCTACCAGCACTCATTATGTATTCTCTGAAGAAGGGACAGCCAAACCAGATGGGCATGATATGGAGATATGGAGTAAGCCCAGGAAATAAATTTTTGAAAGGAGGATCGGTGCAAAAGTTTCCAAAGGCTCCAGCTACCAGGACCCCATGAGGGTGAAAGCCAAGTAAGTAGTTGTGATTTGGGTTCAGTTCTGAAGTTTTTATAAGCTGAAAAATAGAGTCAGTGGTGGGCATTATAATATTTACCTCAATAACAACGGTATGGAGATTGCACATTGACAGGACTTAGAAGCAACGACAATGAATTTCCTTCTGAGAACTTAACATGACTGTCCTGCTTTACAGATAAACAAAGCTTAAACAAATGTGCCAGGATACCATGTCTAGCATTTACTGTGCTGAAGCGCTATCTTGTCACCCAACAGTCCAACTAGAAAACCAGGCCCTGTCCCCTTTTGACACTAAATCTCAGATTTCCCATGTTTCAAAAAGAAGTTAAGTGAGTATTAGAATTTTAGCAAAAATGAGTCTTAGATGTTTGTCCATGGTTATGGCTATTCAAGGTGCTTGTGAGAGAAATCTTTTACTCACATGAATGGGAAAGTATTCCCTGAAGTACTTCCAGAGAGTCCAGCTCCTGACCCACTGGGACCGTCTGCCCCCAACACATGGTGTTTCCCAGTCCAGGTAGAGCCACAGCAGGTACAGAACAGCAAGGAACCAGAAGTTGCCCAGAATCAGGAGCACAAAGAATCCACAGCAAAACTCTGCTACAAGAGACAAAAAGTGAAAGCATAGCAAGCATTAATCACACCCGTGTCCTTTTAAGAATGCCCAGCATACAGATTTACGCAAAGTGCACACAAATTGAACTCAGCTCTTTCTACATGGTGCTGTTACAGTGAGGGTGAAACACTACAAGGGTCTATCATCTCAGTCTATTATTTCTCCCTCTACTGCACAACTGGATATTTGGCAGAGAGCATCTGGTTTACCTAAGGCAAAATAAAAGACAACAAGAGCTAACAAGGATGTGATGCTTTAGGGAGAAGAAAGGAAAGCTGGGGAAGGAAAGAAGGGAAGTGGAACCATATCAACATCTTTTTTCTAATTACAGGGATGTTGGGCAATCATTTTCTATTCTCTTTCTCAGCTTCTCTACCTATAATATGGGGGTGGTAGCTCTACTCCCAGCCAGAAGTGGTGTCACTGGCCAAGGAGATGCACTAGACAAGACCAAAACACAAAGAGGTTCCACTTCAGCCACTAAACACATCAGTCAAAGGAGAAGTTCAGTGCTGCTATGGGAATACAACAGCAGGTAAGTCCTGATACTTTCAAACATAATTAAGTATGAATTGTAACACCCTCCTACAATAGCGATACATAAGAATTGTATTATACACAATTCAAAGAGCAGGAAAAAGTTGCTTGGTTAAATATAATGTGTTACTTGGGTCTTAGCCTTGAAATAATTTCTCAGGGAAATCCTATGGAAACTTTATATTTGGAGAACTTGCAGCATTTTAGTCTTGGAGTGTGTTGAACAGCCCTGATCTGAGATGTCTGAGGAGTAGGAGCTGCTGCTGTCTGCCCTGTGGTACCCCTGCAGCAGCCTGCTTGCTCTGACACCTGAACAAACCCATCAGGCTCATGGATCAGACGCTGAAGTCCAGGTTGCAAGGGAACCAGGGCTTGAACATCATAAATTTATACAATGGCAAGCGTTGTGGTTTGATACAGAAAAGTTTTTTAAGAAGAAGAGGGTTAAACTAATTAGTAGTTGAAGTTAAACATTAACATTTAGATTGACTATTAAAGGTTAGATACCCTTCTGAGAACACAAAGGGGTTAAAAGTAGAATTTTTAGAAGAATTTTCTTTTTTTAGTTTTAGCTAGAATACAGTATAGACTGTCCCCTGCCCAGCCAAGTGGCTGGGTTGGGGAGGGGAGTTATGTAGTTTAAATTAAGGTAGGTCAAAAGGTAGAAGAGTTAGAACTGGTTTCAGTTTTTTCTGCATAAAAAAGCAAAAAAAAATTAAGATGTTTCTGTTCTCTCTCTAGAGTTTCTTTAGAGAGAGAGAGAAAGAGACAGTAATAGTGTTAGTAGTATACTGGTAGAAGAGGTGGAAGTGGGGGAACAGTGTGGGAGCTGGAGCCTGGGCCAAAAGCCATCCAGAGAGTTGAAACTTTTAATCCTTTCTTAAGAAATAAAAGCTTTGTGAAATTTTACTCCTCCTCAGTTTAAAAGAAAAAAAGAAAGACAGCCTAAGACCTGAGAAGTTAAGAAAAAAGTTAAGAGAGAAGATGATAAAATAGCATTTAAATAAACATTCTCTTATTAACCATAGACTAAGCCAATTTATCCTCCAAAAGAAACTGTATTTTAAGAAAATACACAGTAAACCAAAAAACCTACTTCAACAGCTAAAAAAGACAAAAGTAGAGAAAACAACAAAAAAAATTTAAAAAAGCTGTAGTATTACCCCCTGTCTTCAGATAAGAGAAAAAAAAAAAAATCTCTGTTCCTAGACCCTCAGCCCCAGAGAGAAATAGGGGGGACTGCAGTCCCAAAAATAAAAAATGAACTGTTGTTTTCTTTTTTTTCCTCTTAACAAAACATCCTAAAAACAGTCTGTCCATGTATAGTAGTAAGAACACTGTACATAGAAAAGAATGTGTCACACTGACAAATTTTCTCCAAACAGTACCACGTGTAACATAGAAACACATAAAATAACAGCTGTATTTCTTAAAGGGTTTTAAAACACAAAAAGAACTCCTCTCTCTCTCAGTAAACTAAATATTAATTATCTAAAAAGTAAAAACCTAACTAAAAGTCTAAGTTGTGTCTCACTGTCATTTATTAAAGTTAGGGGGGGAAGAAAAATGTTTAGAAAATTTTCATTTCAGTTTTAGTGTGTGTTTTTCTTTCTTTTTCCTTTTATAGTAGTAGTAATTTAATAAAGTTTTTCCTTTATTATTAAACTTAAACCTACTCTACCCTGTTCCTAATCACATCTCACTGCAATAATTTAAGAAGTTACATTTTCATAAAAGCACTAGCATTATACCAGTATCAAACCATAACAGCAAGCAAAACAGGACTTAGTGCTCACTGGAAGACTCAATTGGCAGAGTCGCAGGAGCCCAGTGTTTTTCAGAGATATTTTACAATGCCGAAGCAGTACTTGATGTCTCAAAATTGACTGGCTTTCATGAGGGCAGTATCCTGTGAAATCCTAGAAGTTGCACCAGTGAAACATACTGAGCTAAATACACCACTGAACAGAGCAGATGTAAAAAAGCAACAGAAGTACTTCAGGCAAGCATTTGGCTCACACAATGTAAAATATCACCAGAACTGAAAACTTTAGAATAAGTAGATGAACCAAGTGTAAAACCCACTCATCCTAGTTTAGATCACCTTGATTTAGGTGAGGTATTTCTTGGGTGTTGAAAAGTCAACAGATTCCCTAAACTATGCAGGTTTTGAGCTGAGATCTCAGCTTGGTCTACAGGTAGCCTTGAGTTTCCTCCAACCTGAATATTTACTTTTTCTGAACTTCAACCAGCTTGTTCCTGTGCCTAGTTTGACTGTGCCTCCAGAATAGAATTTGATATCTTGTCTAGAAAGGGATGAACATTCACATTTCCAGCAGGAATATAAGCAGGAAGGGAGAAGGAAATTACCATAAACAAAAGCAGGAGCAGGACAAAACCTACCATTTTCAAGGATACTCTATTATTCAGTAAAGAAGCTCACTGCTTCCTCCTCAAGCAAATAACCCCGGTCTTGCACAGAAAACTACTTGAGCAAGAGCTCTTGAAAAACACCACAGCTAACTGAAGCCCACAGATCCCCCCCAAAGTCAATGTGGAAAACTCACAAGAACTGAAACCAGTTCTAAGGAACATCATTAATGCAGGACAAGTAACACGGGTAAAACATGATGTTCATATTTCACAGGAATTTCACAGGGAATCCCACAACAGCATCACTCTAAAATAGGGCACAGAAATCTATTGAGGAAAAGTCATTACCTGTTCCTTGAAGAAGAGATCTTGAAACTATAGAAATTTCTAGGAATGCTAATCTGGACAGGATGCCAAGGTTCTTGGTTTAAGTTTGAACAAGTATGAGAAGCTTTTTCCAAGCAGCTATAAACAAATTCATTTGTTATGCAAAATTTAGTAAGTACTTCTATTTCCTACTCCTTCCTTTCAGAAGCACTTTCCATCAATCATATGGCTCTTTTAACACGGAATCACATGGCTTTTTACTATCAGTTTGCTAGCAAATAGGCTGAAAAGTGCTTTGTAGCCAACATCCTTGCTGTGAGAGCTAATTACATCAGCAGTGAGAAGGCCCAGATAGCAATACTTAATCCCATGCAGACAAACAGCCACCAGATCAGCAAGCTGGCTGCTCTGCTTCAGCTGGGACACCTTCCTGAGTGCAGGCAAGGCATGGGGAGATAAGTATGCTGTTAGCACTTCCTCAGGGGAGCTCAGCATCTCCTAGGACAAAGTTGATTACTGCATTCCCAATGAGACGTGTAAGGCAAATTCCTTTTACCATACCTCCTCATTATTTCAACGAATTAGCAGCCTTCGAGATGAGCTAAACACTGATGACTCAAAACCAATGAGCCTGTAAACACAAACCTGATGTTTTCTCCTTCAGACACGACAGTGAGTAAATAAATAACAACCATTTAAACTGAATTCATAAACAAATTCCAGGCAAAAGGTGAATAACTTGGGATTTGTCACTCTTCTGCATGGTTGTGTCCTTGGATGTAGTTCCAGTGTACATTCTAAGTGTAATTTTTTTGGTTGAACTTGCTTTGAAAACTATCTCTGTGATATATTGGATTTTGGGGGTAGGTGAGGGGGGAGGAGGAAATATAGATTAAAAGATAAATCACTGCCATGGAACTCTGAACATTGGGTTTGTGAACCAATGTTGGTGTGTCACTTCTCCTCCATTTCCCATTTACAACACATGCATACTCATATTTTGCAACAAATGGTGAAAACCACTCTATGTAGTGTTAGCTACCAGCACTGGCAGCCATCCTGCCCAATGATGTTTGCACACTTGACCCTTCAATCATTAATCAGGCTCTGAATTTGCAACTGGGCGCACCAAATTTATAAAATAGTTAAATACCAGGGATAGGAAGCAGAAAAACAGCACAGGTTAAATCTGGAACTTAGAAGCTTCAAATGCATTTGGAGTTACTAAGGCATCAAAATGTTTGATTGATATCTGTTGTGAAAGCCATCAAATGCAAGATTGTCCCTGTAAGAGAAAGCTTCCATTATGCTCAAAGCAGTCATGGACAGCATGGGCAGTGCAGGTGGTGCCAGGGGTGCTGGTGTCACCCCAAGCAGCACTACAGGCTCCCTGCAGTGTTCCAAAACCCATGCAAGGGAGCTCACTCTGAAACTGGCTGAGCAGCCAGCATTAGCTGGATATGGATCAGTCTCCTGTGAGGGCCTTTGTCAGGTTATTGGTTACAACTGGGAGCCACAAAGATCTCTGAGCACTCCTACCAAGGAAGCTGTATCTCAGCAGTGCTGTGATAGCAAACACAAATCCTCAATGGCAAGCTTTAGAGGTCTGTTTGGGCTGAAATTTGGTTCCAAGTTCCCAAGACCTTCCACTGGCAAATACTGATAAACAAGAGATACAGAGCATTACACGCAACTGATTTGGAGGCAGAGTGGCCTGGATACCATAAACCCCCAAGTTACTAATTGC